GAGATTAATTGGTGATTTCTGGATGCCAATGAGTATTTTTTTTTGTAAAGGGCATGTCAAGAGCTCTCTACAAAAATTGGAACCATTCTATTTTGATTTTTTTTTTAGAATTAGTTATGATTTTTTAAAGTTTAGACTAGATTAGGGTTACAGTGAATAGTAACTCGAATTTCAAGAAATTTGAAGTTTGAATTTTTTCCAACTTTAAGTCATAACAAACGGTTCCCAATGGTTCCAATTAACGTAATATGAGGTTTAAAAGTAAGGTGTGACACTATCTGTAGTAGCAACCACTATCTCTTGATAGGCTCTATCAATTGAGGGTGTAGAGACTGGGACTATAACAAGTCTATAAACAGTATTCAGGGCACGTAGCTCCCTAAAAAGATTGAAAAATTTCTTCTCCTTGGAAGTCTTTTCAGCTTTACTAATACCTATAATATCATCAAAAATAAAGCCTGTCTCAAGCTCATGAGGGTTAGTAGAAGACTTCTTAAGTGCAACTTCAATAGTAACAGAAGTAACTAGAGTGGAAAGGGTATAATCTGACTAATGAACAGTAAAACAACCCATGTCACTACCATTTAAAAGAGTGGGGGAAGAAGAATCAGCTGTAGGGGATGAAACATACATTTTATTCGCATTATCAAGCTTACCAATGAACAACCCATCAACAAATTTAACATTACATATGGAATAATCTTCATGCGGTTGTTTCATTTGTTCATACATATTGAAATATGCAAATTTATCCCTAATAGACATAGTGATAAAACCATTTTACATGTCAATATTAGTATTAGCAATTCAAAAAAATAGTCTGCCCAAAATCAAAGTCTCATCTCCACCTTATTCATTAGGCATATCCAAGACATAGAAGTCAGTAGGGATAACTAAATTTTTTACCTTCACAAGAATATCCTCTAAGAAGCCATATGGGTACCTCACAGCCCTATCAGCTAACTAAAGCATTATAGTGGTAGGTTTGAGGCTTTTGATTTGTAAGGTCTCACACATTGACTTAGGCATAACATTAATTGCAGCACCTAAATCAAGTAAAGCCTTAGAAATGGTTGTTCTACCTATAGTACAAGGTATAGTAAAGGAACTAGGGTCCTGAAAATTAATTGGGAGTTATGGTTTAAACAAGGCTGACACACTAGAGGGTAGCTAAACTCTTTCATTAGGCTTAAACTTCCTCTTATGTGTGCACAACTCTTTCAAAAATCTGGCATACTAAGGGATCTTCTTAATCAGTTCAAGCAAGGGTATGCTAACTTCAACTTTTCTAAATGTCTCAAGCAACTCATTATCTTGTTTTTCATTAGCAATTTTCATACTCTTTAAGTAAGAATAGGGAAAAGGGAGTTCATTGAGATTTACCTCCTTACCCTTATTGCGAAAGGTTCCATGAGTGCTTGTCTCTGATTGCTTCTTGTTCTCCTTACTATCTGACCTTCTTTCCACTTCACAAGGATATGGTATTCAAAGATTTGGGATTAACAACAGTGATGGAGGGTATAGTTCATAAGTTTCGGGCTTTTTTGTCACTTATATTATTCGATAGTTGAGTGACAAAAGCATTGAGGTTGTTGGTGAAACGTCCTTACTTTTACTCCTCACAACATGCATCCAGAAGCAAAATGGATATGCAAAATTATTACTTAAGTTTGAAAATTTTAGAACTTTTCATTAAGGTCCTCAGGTACTGTTCACGCAGAAATTCCAAATTATATATCCAACTTCAAAAATTCATAACTAATTCTATAAAAATTGTATGGGTTGGCTCCAAATTTTTAATCAAAGCTCTTTCAATGCTCTATTAGAGAAAAATATGAAACTGGACTTATCCTTGACCAATTCATACAATTTATTTGTTAAACTTTATTGTTCATTTGGTCAATTCTGGAACTTGCTGATTCTCTACCTCAATACACATCCAGTTAAGGAAAACTACCCGTGTGTTTAAAGCTTGGAATGTGTGCTATATGATCAATAAATTTTATGATCAAATTCAACCATTTGCTAGGTTAACCCAAAACAGGATACTCACTGCTTTAGGATCTACATTTCGTCTTTCATTAGCTTCTTACTTTTAATTCCTTCTTGATTCAAGCATGCATAAACTAGCCTTATGGTTTCCTATTTATTCTTATAGTTTAAATTACATGCCATTAACATCATAAATCATCACATTGCATCACATTTCATGTTAGGCATGTCTACAAAATAATTACATTGCTAGCAAATTCAAGCATCGCATTATAATACATAGAAATTCTCCAGCTTCTTTTCTTCCATCTTTTTACCCTTCTTCATGCATCCTTTCTCCTCATCATTTGAACTACTATAGTTGGTTAAGGGAGGGGTGAGATTCGAGAAAATCTCAGTAGCAAACAATACTATCAATATATGCAAGATGAATGTAAGTGTATGATGTGCTTCCTTGATTATCTTTATGCCAATTTAGTAATCTAACCTTTTGCTCAATGGCTCCTATTACATGCATGGCCATGAAATCATCAAGAGGCAAAACACACATCATTCATACATAACTCATATCATCACAATTAGCATCATACAAATCAATACAACAAGCATAAATATCAAGCACATAAGATAGGTAACTTCACTATCTTGTACCATAAACTTTTCTCTTTCTTTTCCTTTGACCCCCTTGACTTCCCAACCATGAGGGCTTTCGATCAATATCATCAAAAGATCCTCTTGGATGTTACAAGGTCCTAAACAGCCACAAGGTTCACATAACTCATAAGTACCAAGAAATCACACAAAGGTCTTACTTGCTCTTTTGAACTTCAACCCTTTCTCTTGATTTTAGGGTTTTCTTTCTAGTTTTTTGAAAAATATTCTTTTAGACCAATCCTACACAATTTTACATGAGGAATCTAAATATAACCTTAGATTTACCAACCCCAGCTTCCTTCCCTAGGAAACTACTTTGGCTAAGAGACTTAGGGGTTTTCCCTAAAAAAATCTCACTTTTGATTATAATGCTTCCAATTTATTTTCTTGACTTGGTTCCTCATAATTTTCCATTCTAAATCTATTGGAAGCCTTAGAATCAAAAAAATCACATCCTAGGCATAAGAACTAGTCAAGGCCGAGGCACTACCTAGGGTCTCCAATTCATGAAATAATCAAACTATCATGCAATACCACTTGATTTCTACTCCTTTCTATCCTTTAGCCATATTTCTAACATAAATCTCATCATTTCCCATACTTAAACATTTTGGTTAGCAGCATCAAAGTAGCATTTCAACCCTTCCAAACTCAACCAAACCAAGAACAATTAAGATAGGTGCTAGAATCATCATATACCTTGATCATGAAGCTTGAATCTTGTTCCTTCTTCTTGGCCTTTACCCTCATGATTTTTCTTCATTTTTCTTTACACTTTTTTGCAGAGCTTTCACTCTATAAATGCTTGCCGAAATACTCTTCTAAGGGGGTATTCATAACCAAAATTATGGCAAGGGTTGCCAACTTTGCCCTTGATAAAATATGACAATTCTGAAGGTCACTTGTCCAAGCTCAAGTCTTTCTCCACAAGAACTTGCCAAGTGTCCTCATGACATCATACCCTTGATATCATCAAACTTCTTTCTTGCCTCATCATGTCATGTGACGAAAACTCATGAAAAGGAAAGGAGAAGATTAGATCTTAATCCTTGGATCAAACCTAAATTCCAAGTTTCTTCCTAATTTACTTGGCTCATATTTTTCTAGCTTTTATAGTGGCCTTCTGGAGTTCAAAAAATTCCTTTGTCTACTCTATAAACTTTCTTTAATTATAGAAAAATGTTACAAAATTTTTTGGGCCATAACTCTTCCTTTAACTATTTCTTTTTGAATTTCCCGTAAAATGTCTCTCAGGAGCATAACTGGACTTTATATTTTATTAAAGCCACCCTACTGACCTTTTGGGGATAAGACTTATTTTATAAACTTCTTTAGCCTCTTAACTATTTATTTCTCATTTTTACATATATTTTTTAGACGTCCTCATGGCTTAAATAATTGCATCTAGATAATTACCTTAAACTGAGCCACTATATTGAAATTTATATTAAAGCTACTATAAGGGTATTTTCATTATTTATCTTCATCAAAAGGCTTCTATACACCATTTCCCATTTTCTAAGATTTTTTTTTTTGAAATTTTCTATATATTTTTCATAATTATCCCCTTTAGCCTGTAATTTTCTGGAATTATAGTTTCACCTCTACTTGGGCTCAACCTCATGAATCATCACTTGGATGCTTGCACCTCAACCTTGGGTCTACACCTAACCTATTTTTCTTTTCTGAGTCCAAACTCTCCTAGAGCCCCTGACTTTATTTACACTTTTGCCCCTAAAAACTTTCTCACTTGTAGTTTAGTCTTTATTCCCATTCTAACTTCTTTTCATATCTTTAGGACTTCTGCTTAAAAGGATTTAGTAGTCTACCTTCTTTAGGCTACTTTCTAGGCTTCTAAGCTTGAAAATTGGGATGTGACAATTTCTTACACTCATAGACCCAAATTTTGAAATGTTACACCATGTCAACAAATTAAAAGGTATCAGTGACACATTAATATAATTAACACTATTCACACGAGCACCAAGGTCTAAGATGGACTAATAGTTTTAAATCAAGAAAACTTAGGGGGACTAAAAGCTCCAGTATGAGACTTTAGAAACTAAAAGCAAATTATAGGGACTAATCACTATATTAACCTCAAAATAAATAAACTAAAAGTAAAGGAAATTCTGAATTAAATACAACTAAAATAATCAAAATTAGAATCAAGCCTACACTATTTCAATTTTCCTTTTGAGTAATATTCAAAAACTTACTAATTAGACCTCTTGATGGCTTGATTAGAAATTTATTAAAAATATAGCTCTAAATTTGGATTTTGCAACTTTAACTAGATTTAATTGTGATTTTTCCTTGAAAAATTTCAAAACACATTGAATTTCATTAGTAGTAGTCATACACTTGTATATTCTTGATATATATGAAAAATAAATAAAGGGACATTACATGTAATAAATTGATTTTTTTTAGGGTAATTGATTATAAATCCTTGAATAAACTCGAATCCAATATAAGTTTCAAGACGAGATGTCGTGCCCTATTGATATTCATGAAAAATAGATACAAATGTTCCTCTAATTCGTCCAACTGATCACTAAAACCGCATTGACTTTTCTTCATTAGTCGAACCACTTCACCATTAGCTTGGTATTGATCTTCTTTTCTCTCAAGCCAAAACCTAATATTCGACTTGATGTGCTCTAACTCATCATTGGCTCGAGTCACAATTCCACTAATTGTCTCAAAGTCCTTGCTCAATATGTAAGTCCCTTTAGCTGCTGCATCAAGTTGAGCCGCTACTCCAGCCAGCTTTCTTTCCGAAGCTATATCCGTCATTGGAGCCATAATAAATCCAGGGGCACCCACCAGCAACATAAAGCCATGAGACAAAATAACCGCAATTAATGAACTTGTTATTGTCACAAGCATAAATGCCGAGCCACGTCTTAACCTAGTTATCAATTTCAACTTGGTCCTCACTTTATCACGCTTTGACTCAAGCTGTTTTAGTAGGTTGGAACACTGGGATCGAGTTGCTTGAATTCGGCTGAATGACGGGCCGGATGAAGCAAATTTGGCTAATTCGCTTATCAATGTAGAAAAATGAATGGGAGGAGAGTGAAGAATGGTATTAAGAGATTGATACATGACACGCATGCGATCAATGTCTTTTAAAATAAGGCTACAAAGTAGAGAAGCATTAGCAGTTTGGGCAAAATATTGTGAGAGGAGGGAATGGACTTTGCGTGGGTAAGGGGTCATGGATAAAACCTTAATGACTGTGGGTTGATCTGGATCCAAGAGATGCTCCGCAAACAAACGGTAAGAAGGGAGTCTGGCTGCTGTGGTAGATTCTCCATTGGAATAGGCAACGACACGTGTCCAGAAATCCAGGTATGATTCAGTGCGGAAGGCATCAGCATATTCCTCACGTACGTCCGCGGCGGTTTGGTGTTTTGGGGAGTTGAGACTATGCGCTATTAAAAACAATCACAAGCGAATTAGATTTTCATGGCTAAATTATACAAATTCCTAACTTTCCAACTTTTAAAATTTTATAACAATTTTTAATTTTTATATTTATACAAGTAACTTTCATATTATTAGTTCGAAGAGGTAAGACCGTATGTTTTTAAAAGTAATAGCAATTGAATTGGATTTTCACGGCTAAATTACACAAATTTTCTGTCTTCTCCAACTTTAAAATTTTATAACAATTTCTGAATTTTCATATTTACGCAGATAACTTTCGTATTATTAGTTTTATTCATTTTTATATGTATGTTGCTTAAAATTTAAGAAATTCATCTACATATAATCGAAAATTTGAGGAGGTTTTATGCATATAAAAATAAAATTTAAGGAGACATAAAACTGATAATTTGGGATAATCTTCATAGATTTAAAAGTTTATGAGGTTTATTATGAAGTTCTCTCCTATTTGCACATGCATGATTGTGAATTTTAAAGAAGTTTTATGCAATTCAATTTTTTTTTAATTTGTTAATGATTATTAGTTTAGAATCATTCATTCAGTTCTTACTATAAATGCTTTCAATTAATTTCTTTTAATTTTTTAAATATTATTTTAACTTTTATACCTATACTTCTTAATTATTAATTTTATTGTTTTAAATTAGTCTTTTAATTTTCAAACTACTTGAAATTAAAGGCCTTGTTAGAAAAGTTACATATGAAACTCTTTGATGAATTACATCTGAACAAAATAAAAATAATGGAAGAACGTAAAGCATGAAATAAACCAAAATGGATTTAAGAGGTAATATCAAAAGTTAAAAAAACTAACAACTCAAGCAATATATTTTATAGATAAAACGTAATCGCACCTATTTCTCGACCTACAGATAATTAGAATATTCACACACACACACACATATATCCATGGACATGGTAATTCATTTTTATGATAAATGTGGTATATACACAAGATAACAAGAACCTTATTCACGTTTCCAAGGATCAATATCAATATCATCGACAACTGCAGTATATTTCCAATATTATATATATATATTAAAGATATATGCCTATATATAGGTTCAATTAAAAATAATACATATGCATTGTAGTAAAAAAAATTCATATATAATTTGGTCAGGAAAAAAAATACATGTACCAGAACATGAAGGCAACTTTTTCATCTTCTCAAAAAGTTTTTTCTTCATTCTGTCTTATATATTAACTGCAATAGAACCTGCAAGCTCAAGAGAGGACAACAGTCTTCAAGACGTGTTAAGTTAAAGCAACAAGAAAGTCTCCAGAGTAATACAGCGAAAAAAAAAAAAAAACATAGCGAAAACTTTTAGAATGGAAATTAAAATATATTGATCCGGAAAAAAGGGTTTGAAAACCAAAAATTAAATAGCGAAAGGTATAGAAATTAAAAAAAAAAGATAAGAGGAAAAACAAGGATACTGATCAGAAACTAAAGACATATATAACCGGCTGCAGAAACTACACGAACCTGAACTATGATTAATAAATTATAAAGCAAAAAAAAAAAAAAAACTGCATTTGTTCATCATAACCTTTTGGTGATTTTAATAGATATATGGATATATAGGGTTTTGAAGGGAATAAATAATTAAAATAGAATGGGAACAGAAAATGCTATTGCTAACCTTGTTGAGAACTTGAAGAAATCTTTCTTGTTTATTATCTTGTTGCCTGCAAATAAATCCAAAATATCATGAAGGGGTCCTCCTTTGAATATTTATAGGTCGATATTTCCTTCTCTTTTGTATCAGTGAAGTTTATATGCTTTGTGGAACCAAGGCTTCTTTTGGCCTTGCTTCTAAGAAAGAGATTGATTGTGGAAATCAAATACAACAATACATTCTTATTAGTGGACCTTGTAGTGTACGTGAAGTGAAGTGTGACGTTCCGAGGACATTAATTATGGAAGGAAAATGCTGAATTTTAATTGTTTCAATCGTAATCCCATAGCAATCTGTAGCTTCCAAGGCACAAATAAACTATTGAAATGTTGTCACCTCATTGTCTAGATTTTGTAGTCAAGTAATCTCTTAAGATTTCAAAAAGAGCCCCCTTTTTTAAAAAAATCAATATGTAAGTCTTTATATTTCATATATTTTAAATTAAATTTTTATAGTTTTTTGAACAAAAATTTTAGCTGGGGGTTTTTGGCGGCAACGCCTAAATACTCTATAAATTTAGCAGATTTTCCAACTCCTCTATAAAGTTATGCAAATCTTGTTGACTGTAGGAACTGTAATGAAATGGTAAATTCAAGCCGTGTCCTACGGATATTATTTTTAAGTGCTATTCTGCAACCACTAACAACCAGAAAGCGGCACTTTCCATGATTAAACAGATTCTTCTCGCAAGAGTAGGGTGAGCAGAATAGCTAAAGAGGGAAGAACTCAGTGTGCTTGAACACTAGAGGAGGAAAGGAAAAGTTGTCCAAAAGCTTAGAGTTTAGGGGTACTATGAACTTCGGTCTCGTGCTTTTTTATATGCTGTGAATCATAATGCCATTTGGCAACTTTAATGGTAATTAACTCGTCAATAAATAGTCATGAACACAATTAAATTGGCAATTTGCATGGTCATTATAACCTGCTTAATGATGACTAAAGTCATTGGTTACAAACATTGATAAGGCATGATGACGAATTAATTAGATAGATATTCTTAATAAAAGTACCTAATACTACATTTGGCTTGTGGACACGAGGTGAGGAAAAGTTGTCAAATTTGTCTCTGATAGCCTATTGTATTGCGAGCTCACTTTTCCTCTATTGGCCCATTTAGTAGCCTAAGATCACTTATTATTTAGACCCCCACAATTCCAAATAATGTGAGAACCTTCCTTTGATACACCCACACACAATATTTACAACAGGATTTTAGGCCTAAGCACTGTGACAAGGGATTGAACTCCATCCTTTGCTCGTGAGAGGGTGCAATTTTTATTGATGAAGCCACAAATAGAAGATTGGTAAATTTTTATATTTATTTTTCTTATTATCAGGTCATTATCTTTATTTATATGGGTGTGGGTGTTCATTGTAACACCTCACATAATCATATCCATTTTACTGTATAAAATATTGCATTTAAAAGTCTATATGTGTTTCTAGTGTTCAATACAAGTCATAATTTCCAAATATTTTTTCTGTCATAACTTAAGAAAATAAACTATTGAAGCCTTATAGTCATGACAAGTAAAAATATAACACAACATATGCTTAAGAAGTATAGAAGCCTTTACGGCTTACTCCATTAGTGCCTTTCCTTGATTCCTACCAGATCCTTCACCTAGAAATGTCAATATAACGGATGAGATCTAACATCTTAGTAACTATTGAAATTCTAATATATGCAAGCAAATCATATATGACAAACAAAAATGGGATTATTTATGTGTGTATATATTTCACGAACGCAAACATTCAACTCAATTTTATTTTTAATTCAACAATATACTAATACCATTTTCCCATATATCTAAAAATAATACAATATGCATCTAAGCTCATTGATACTTGAGATATATCTGGCCAAAGATATAGAGCTTAAATTTGGACTATAACTCCCCTCCTTTGAAAATAAAAATAAGGAGGTGTCATATGTCCCATAGCTTTAATGAATTCCTGGCCAAAGAAAAAAATGGAAGAAGAGGCCCTGAAAAGTGTCATCCACCGTGCACTGAGTGATGGCATGTCACGTGGTAATTTTATATCCATGCATATCTTATTCTATCCTTAGCCCAACAATATATATGTTATGGGCAGATAATGTTACATCAGAAATATATCCACAAATATATTATTAAAATAGGAGAGCAATAAAATTTCTGTACAATTTACCAACAACTCATTATAATTTAATAACTACCAATATATTTAAACATTGATCATAATTAATAGCAATAAATCTTAAAAAATAAAGTAATATATCAAGACATTTATGAAAACTCATAATATATACACATATTGCAATATGATATAAAAACTAGTAATTCCACAATATAATCATACATAATTTACATATACATGAAAGAATTTTCAAAGTTACTTGCTACTCTTTAGCTTACAAATATTCATACAATGTTTACTCCAAAATTTTTAAGAGTCTACAAAATAACTTAAAACTATTCTAAAACTACTCTGAAATTCTAAGACTACCCTTTAAACCAAAATTATATAAACATATTAACTCTCACAGATCAAACTATTTATAATGGATGCAATATTATTTTAAAAATAAAATTTTCATATAAGACTATTTAAATTTAATAACTTAAATATATTTATTACCTAAAATATAAGCATTTTATATTAAAATCTCATTTATTATAGTCTCATTTAAAATTTTTTCTCAGCCAAACAACTCCTTTGAAGTATAAATAAACTTAACGTTTTATAAAATTCTCAATTTATAATTTTTCAAGTTTTCAAAAATTATTTCAAAAATATATCTTTAACCTATTCAATGTTCAAATCGATTAGAATCTCGATAATATTTTAAATAATTCAAATAAGTTATTTAACTTCAATTTAATTGGTAAAAACCTTCCATATGCCTTGGATGATAAATTTTTCAACTAAAATCTTAATTTAAAATTCTCAAAATAATCATAGAACAAAAATAAATGAATTAAAATTTATTAATAATGTATCTTTAAATTTCTACGGTCATATATTGTCAAAACTCATTATTTATTCTATACTCGAACTATAAAATCTTCTCTAAACATTATAATGATACTAATAACATAAAGCTTTAAATATATAGAAAATATTTATAAAGAAAATTTGATAAAAAAGAGTATTTTTGTGCACCTAAATGATCTTCAAAACTTGTAGTGCCCTTCAAAATGCTAACACTTTTTCTTCTCTCATGCTCTCTCTTCCTGTGTCTTGCTCTCTTTCGGCCTCTCACTCTCTCTTTCTCTTCTGATCTCTCTTTTATTTTTTCTTCCCTCCATCTTCCAACTACCCATCTCCTATTTTTCTACCTTCATTGAATACTCCTCCTGCAAATTCTCCCTTCTTAATAAATGCGCTAGCTTTTCCAATGAATTTGATGGAAAAGCTAGTTGTTTTTTTTAATTTATTTAATAATAATAAAATATTATTTTTTATATATATTTCAATTACAATTTTTTTTAATAAAAAAATATGTTACATTCATAAACATAATAGTCCAACTTAATGAAACCAAACCCCTTTCGGTTTGGAAAAAATTAGTTGGATGCAAAAGAAAAACTACGACTAGACATAAGAGACTAGGCATCAAATTCTTCTATTTATGTATGGTAAACCTTAACCACGCATTATATATGGACATGGATTGTATTTATGATAATGCCAATGGAATGAGTGAGGGCCACATATGTGTGTCTACACACACACACACGCAATGAGAGATTAGTAGGGTGATCATTAATAATTAATTATAGGATAATAGTTATGTCAAGTTTTTTATATCCAATCGCATATAATTATGTGTCATATTTTTCATGTGAATTTATAATTAAATTATAATATTTCAAAAATAGAACTTACATAAGAAAAAGATTAATGATCATGTGTAATTGGAGAACTGGACATAAGTATTTTTCATTCTTAATTATGTACCAAATAAATTCATGCAATTATCATTATATTACATTGCATCGTACTGCATTGCATTCCCTTAGATTACGTGAACCAAAGAGGCCGTCAATCTTTTCTCTAATCATAGGATAAAAGCTTGTCATATAGACTTGTTTCTTTGCTATCCCATAGGCCCAATATCTTAGTAAAGAGGGTTATAAAGCTATCTTGATATCAAATGGTATTTTGTGTGTTATGGTTGATAATATGGCATGTACTTGTGCATGGATTGATGGGCATTGAGCAAGAGAACAAGAAGGAATCCAAAGAGATCAAGGAGGCTGAACATCTTAAGTTAGAAAGAGGTAGCTTGGGATTTACAATTTCAATGTTAACTTGCTTAGTTGTTACATAATATGATTCATTAAATATATGCCATGTTGTATTTGGAATTACCTGATAATCATGACATGTTGGTTGGTTGCATTGTATGCCTTGGCAATATGCATTAACATGTTGATTTTGAATGGAGTGGAATGATACTTGCATGGCATGAAAGTGAATAAATATTTATGAACTTGTTTATAATAGAAATCTCATTCCTCTCTGTGTTTAAACAACACCAATAGGACCCACAAATGGTATGGCCAAGGGTAAGGAGGTGATATCTCCATGAAGGAAAAATATTATGTAATTATGTTGAACTTTGTGATGAAGTTTTGTAATTTATGTTGATATGTGTTTTGATGCCCTTTAAGGGATGTAAATTATAAAGAATTACTTGTTAAATACTACGATATGTTGCTGAATTATATTTGGAATCATTATGGTTTATTTTGGCAAGTTTTGCGTAAAAAGGATGAAAGTTGAACAAATTAAGGGTAAAATTTGACCATGTGAAATTTTGAGCAAATAAGGGAGCTTGGATCTAAAACTTAACAGTCTAATAGATCATATTTTTATATTTGAAATAAGTGGTATTTCATGAAATTTGGAGTTTTATACAAAGAGTTATACGCCTCCAAAGTTAGGCATAAATTCTGAAAAATTAGAAAAGTTACCAAATGAACAGTACATCTTGTCGCTGAAACTGGGCATACATAAGTTGGATTCATACTCTG